CAAACTACAGCAACACACTACACAAACTACGGCAACACACTACACAAACTCAGCAAAACATTGAAAACTACATCAAACACTACACAAACTACAGCAAACACTTTACAAACTACAGCAAACACTTTACAAACTACGGCAACACACTACACAAACTACAGCAAACACTTTACAAACTACGGCAACACACTACACATAATACAGCAAAACATTGAAAACTACATCAAACACTACACAAACTACGGCAACACACTACACAAACTACTGTGAACACTTTACAAACTACAGCAAACACTTTACAAACTACAGCAAACACTTTACAAACTACGGCAACACACTACACAAACTACTGCGAACACTTTACAAACTACAGCAAACACTTTACAAACTACGGCAACACACTACACAAACTACTGCGAACACTTTACAAACTACAGCAAACACTTTACAAACTACAGCAAACACTTTACAAACTACGGCAACACACTACACAAACTACAGCAAACACTACACAAACTACGACAACACACTACACAAACTACAGCAAACACTACACAAACTACTGCGAACACTTTACAAACTACAGCAAACACTTTACAAACTACGGCAACACACTACACAAACTACAGCAAACACTTTACAAACTACAGCAAACACACTACACAAACTACAGCAAACACTACACAAACTACAGCAAACACTACACAAACTACAGCAAACACTTTACAAACTACAGCAAACACTTTACAAACTACGGCAACACACTACACAAACTACAGCAAACACTTTACAAACTACAGCAAACACTTTACAAACTACGGCAACACACTACACAAACTACAGCAACACATTACACAAACACTTTACAAACTACAGCAACACACTACACAAACTACGGCAACACACTACACAAACTACAGCAAACACTTTACAAACTACGGCAACACACTACACAAACTACAGCAAACACTTTACAAACTACAGCAAACACTTTACAAACTACGGCAACACACTACACAAACTACAGCAACACATTACACAAACACTTTACAAACTACGGCAACACACTACACAAACTACAGCAAACACTTTACAAACTACAGCAAACACTTTACAAACTACAGCAAACACTTTACAAACTACGGCAACACACTACACAAACTACAGCAACACACTACAGCAAACACTATACAAACTACGGCAACACACTACACAAACTACGGCAACACATTACACAAACACTTTACAAACTACGGCAACACACTACACAAACTACAGCAAACACTTTACAAACTACAGCAAACACTTTACAAACTACAGCAAACACTTTACAAACTACGGCAACACACTACACAAACTACAGCAACACACTACAGCAAACACTATACAAACTACGGCAACACACTACACAAACTACGGCAACACACTACACAAACACTTTACAAACTACAGCAACACACTACACAAACTACAGCAAACACTTTACAAACTACGGCAACACACTACACAAACTACAGCAACACACTACACAAACTACAGCAACACACTACACAAACTACAGCAACACACTACACAAACTACGGCAACACACTACACAAACTACGGCAACACACTACACAAACTACAGCAACACACTACACAAACTACGGCAACACACTACACAAACTACAGCAAACACTTTACAAACTACAGCAACACACTACACAAACTACGGCAAACACTTTACAAACTACAGCAACACACGACACAAACTACGGCAACACACTACACAAACTACAGCAAACACTTTACAAACTACAGCAAACACTTTACAAACTACGGCAACACACTACACAAACTACAGCAAACACTTTACAAACTACAGCAACACACTACACAAACTACAGCAAACACTTTACAAACTACAGCAACACACTACACAAACTACGGCAACACACTACACAAACTACAGCAAACACTTTACAAACTACAGTAACACACTACACAAACTACGGCAACACACTACACAAACTACAGCAAACACTTTACAAACTACGGCAACACACTACACAAACTACAGCAACACACTACACAAACTACAGCAACACACTACACAAACTACAGCAACACACTACACAAACTACAGCAACACACTACACAAACTACAGCAAACACTTTACAAACTACAGCAACACACTACACAAACTACGGCAACACACTACACAAACTACAGCAAACACTTTACAAACTACAGTAACACACTACACAAACTACGGCAACACACTACACAAACTACAGCAAACACTTTACAAACTACGGCAACACACTACACAAACTACAGCAAACACTTTACAAACTACAGCAAACACTTTACAAACTACGGCAACACACTACACAAACTACAGCAACACATTACACAAACACTTTACAAACTACGGCAACACACTACACAAACTACAGCAAACACTTTACAAACTACAGCAAACACTTTACAAACTACAGCAAACACTTTACAAACTACGGCAACACACTACACAAACTACAGCAACACACTACAGCAAACACTATACAAACTACGGCAACACACTACACAAACTACGGCAACACATTACACAAACACTTTACAAACTACGGCAACACACTACACAAACTACAGCAAACACTTTACAAACTACAGCAAACACTTTACAAACTACAGCAAACACTTTACAAACTACGGCAACACACTACACAAACTACAGCAACACACTACAGCAAACACTATACAAACTACGGCAACACACTACACAAACTACGGCAACACACTACACAAACACTTTACAAACTACAGCAACACACTACACAAACTACAGCAAACACTTTACAAACTACGGCAACACACTACACAAACTACAGCAACACACTACACAAACTACAGCAACACACTACACAAACTACAGCAACACACTACACAAACTACGGCAACACACTACACAAACTACGGCAACACACTACACAAACTACAGCAACACACTACACAAACTACGGCAACACACTACACAAACTACAGCAAACACTTTACAAACTACAGCAACACACTACACAAACTACGGCAAACACTTTACAAACTACAGCAACACACGACACAAACTACGGCAACACACTACACAAACTACAGCAAACACTTTACAAACTACAGCAAACACTTTACAAACTACGGCAACACACTACACAAACTACAGCAAACACTTTACAAACTACAGCAACACACTACACAAACTACAGCAAACACTTTACAAACTACAGCAACACACTACACAAACTACGGCAACACACTACACAAACTACAGCAAACACTTTACAAACTACAGTAACACACTACACAAACTACGGCAACACACTACACAAACTACAGCAAACACTTTACAAACTACGGCAACACACTACACAAACTACAGCAACACACTACACAAACTACAGCAACACACTACACAAACTACAGCAACACACTACACAAACTACAGCAACACACTACACAAACTACAGCAAACACTTTACAAACTACAGCAACACACTACACAAACTACGGCAACACACTACACAAACTACAGCAAACACTTTACAAACTACAGCAACACACTACACAAACTACGGCAACACACTACACAAACTACAGCAAACACTTTACAAACTACGGCAACACACTACACAAACTACAGCAACACACTACACAAACTACAGCAACACACTACACAAACTACAGCAACACACTACACAAACTACAGCAAAACACTGAAAACTACAGCAAAAATACTGCAACAACTACAAAACTAGATTTGATTCACAGTATATTGAACTCTCTGTTGAGCAGGGTTAGGGTTAACTCACTTTGAGGGTTAGGGTTAACTCACTTTGAGGGTTAGGGTTAACTCACTTTGAGGGTTAGGGTTAACTCACTTTGAGGGTCTTATATGAGTATCACAGGCGTGATTAAAGCGATAAAGCAACATATATTTCTTTACATTTATAAAATGACAACTCATATCAAATGATGGTAAACTGGAATAAAATATGGGGGAAATGCAAAGGGAAAATAATGAAGAACATTTTGTTTTAGATACATTCATTTAAACTATTTTGAATTAATATGATTTTGTTTTAAATAAATGAAATAAATAAATACAATGAATTATTACTTAAAAATTAAAATTAAAATATTACAATATACAAAAATATTATTTTTATTATTTTGCAAAGTATTGATAGTTTCAGTTTCAGTCTCAGCCTAACATAAATAAAAGGTAAATACATTAAGTGTTTAAATTAGAAATAAATTAAATAGAAAAAACATTAAAAAAAATGAAATAAATAATAATTAAGCAAATAAAAAAAAATGAGATATTGTGAAACGCTTTTTTAATCAATTTAAAACAAAATGACTGCATTCACTCATTGTTTTTGAGATAAAAATGTGTCATTAAACTCATAAAATAATTTAGTTTGAAGTGGAAGCATTTGACAGAAAGTGGTCATAGTAGGATCTTTTCAAATGAGTTTAAAAAATCAAAAAGGTGCATTTAAGTGTGTATAAATCACTGCAAACTGTTCAAAACACATGTATCAAAAGAGGTCTGTTTTAGGGATACAGAAGGAGTGGTAAACGTGTTATAAAGTGCATCATAGTGTAGCACTTTTTAAATACATCAAGTGTGTCCATCTTTCTCAAAGCACCGTGGGAAAATATTCAAACACGATGCCAGATTGGAAACAGATGTTCAGAAAAGGAAGGAGAAACGTCCTCGGTGTTTTTACTGCAATTTCTTTCTCCTACTAGCACAAAATAAAAAAAGAAGCCATAAATAAATCCAAAATAAAAGGAATTAAGTGCACTTGTAATGGTCCTTGGAGGTTATTCCCGGCACGTTGTGTGTCCTGCTGCTGCCTGCTAATCACCTCCCCTCCTCCGGAACAAAGTGAACTTTTACCGGGACTTTGAGTGTTTTTTACCCGGGTTTTAGTGGTGTTTGTGCAGGGTTTTCGCTCACCGTGCTGTGGCTGCAGCCCATTCCTCCTCCTCCCGGTCCTCCGAGCTGTCGGTTAGAAGCAGCTCCGCTTCTTCTGTTGACAACTTTCAAACACGGAAAAAAAACAAACGTCCCTGAACGCACCGCAAAAGGCGGGGCTTATTTGTGCTGCCTTCAGGGACACTTCGTAGCTTTGTTAATCTAATGTGAAAAAAGTAAAGTAAAACATTTTAATACAATTCAAATGTTATAATAACAAAATAAAAGGGAATACATGGGAATTCAATTAATAAAAAACAAACAAAAATGTTTTTAACATAATTTCTTTATAATAAATAACTAAATGAAATGTGTTAAATTAAATTAATACAAGATACATACAACTGTGTTAAAGGTGGGGTAGGTACATTTTGGAAACCGGCTCGAGATACACTTGTTGTTATATTCCATGGAATGCTCTTAACATCCTGATAGCAATGAATATCTGAAGTGCTTTGACAACAGATACATTAAAAAATGTCATCTGTGGAAGCCGTAGTACTGTAAAAAGCACGACCAATCATCTGAGCCGGCCCGGCTAAAATAACTGGATGGCCTACCTGCCTGTCAGCCTTCCATCTGTGCACAAACTTATCTCGTGCCCTCATTGGTCATGTGCGCGTTCGTGTGTGTTGGAGGAGGGGCTCTATAAGGAAGTGGCAGATTTGTTCCGGCTGTGTATTTTCAATTTCTAGCGATCTCGAGCTGGGTTGCGTTCGAATACTCCAAAAAAAACAGCTCCTAAGTTCTAACCCTATCGTCTATTCCTTGACCTCGGAGTGAACGTCATGGGGTTAAGGGATAGTGGATAGGAGAATTCAAAAGGATTTAGGAGAAGAGACTGCGGCACTTTAGAGAATCCGACTGCACTTTCACTATCCGACGTGTTTATGATGCGCCAGCGGAGGTCATAAATGTGCGCCTGCTGCTGTGAGGAAACTATGGAAACTACAGTTTTCTATACAGCGGACTACAACATGGATGTTTAATAAGAACGAGGGACTACTGTAAACTCATCTAGAGACTCTGCACCGTGCTCTGATGCTGTTATGCTTTATGAACGGGGACAACAGAGAAACATATTCTTCATGACCAAAGTTGGAATTGAAATAAAAAAGGAAAGTGAAACTTATGCTCGTCACCCTCTCCCTCCGGTCCACATTAATACAAATGATCCCAATACGTATGATTGTATGAAAAGATCTTCAAATCAATACAAATGTATTTATTATAAACGTTAGTCCTTAACATCTATCACTGTGTATATCACCATTCAAACATCTTTTAAAAGTTGAACAAACCCCACACAGCTCAGTAAAGACTGTGAAATGTTGACTTTATTTGATCATTTCAGTAAAAACTAACGTTCATATTTCTCTTTTTGATTATAATACTGATGAACGTTCAAAACAAAGCACTTTGGCAACTTACCACATACGTTTTAAATTGCTTAATAAGCACCGTAACTTTATACCGATATCATTTCTCGTTCATAATCGGTTGTTTCCGTGAACGGCCGACTGTTGTGTGACGGCAAATGCTGCGGCCGCAAGGCATTGTGGGGCAGCATTTTCTCCTCTCCTTTCGGTGAGGGAGGTCCAGTGGTTCCTAGGCTAAAGGAGGTTATAAAGGAAGTTTGAAACCTCCTTTCCTTTTAATTTAGAGAATTCGAACGGCACTTATCATGGCTGCCACTGAGGGACTTCCGGGTCATTTCACTCCGTTAGGAAGGTTCCTAAGCTAAATGGACTATTCGAATGCAACCCTGGTTTCTCCAAAATTACCTACCCCACCTTTCAGGACACTTCATGGCTTTAAAATCCAACATTTTTTTTTTTTTTAAACATACAAATATTACATATAAATTAATCAAAGTAATACAAATCAAAAGAAATATAGTAGTAGTATTATAATATAGTTATATAAAATAAGGTTTAATAAGTACATGAATACAGAACAGATTATTAAAACAGATTATTAAGTGTGTTTTATATTTGTTTTACGGACAAAAACAAACAAACCTAAGTTAACTAATTAAAAAGTACAATTCTTAATTTCTATTAACATTTATTCTGTAGTTTATGTAAAAAACTGCACATTTATTTTCCAATTAAACTCTGCCGGATTTTCTTTAGTCAATGGGTGTTTCTCAATGTCGAGGACGCTTCCTTGGTAGGACATGTCTTCCGAGTCAGGTCCTTCAGAAGCGAGGCAAGAATCCTTCCTCGGAAAACAAAGAATTGTGGAACAGGCTAACAGGTGTGCAGGTATGCGTCATATGAGAGGCCCCGCCTTAAAAGGAGCGCCATTTCCGCCAAAGATTTGGACGGTGCGCAAAGCATTGTGGGGATTTTAAGACCGCGGAGGATACACATGTGCAGCCTCGAAATTTCCCGCAACGAAGGACGCCGGCCTCGGTAGAATTCCAAGCATCCCGGACATTGGAACAGTCCTTCGGCGGAACTCGATGACGTAGCATCCTTGAAATAGTGGCTCTGGAGCAGCCTTCCTCGACATTGAGAAACACCCAATGTCTCTCTACATTTAAACTACAGTTCAGTCAGACAACTCACGTGTTTCTTTATATGTTTAGTAGAAGCGGCATATAGTTTGAGTTTGGCGTCTAGGCTCGGGCCTCATCACTCCACAGATTTACAAAGAACATTGAGTGATGATTAGATAACTATCCCCCCGAGCCTACAGGTGGAAGCTGGGGTGGAAGCTGGGGTGGTGGGGGGGAAGCTGGGGTGGAAGCTGGGGTGGAAGCTGGGGTGGAAGCTGGGGGGGAAGCTGGGGTGGAAGCTGGGGTGGAAGCTGGGGGGGAAGCTGGGGTGGAAGCTGGGGTGGAAGCTGGGGGGGAAGCTGGGGTGGAAGCTGGGGGGGAAGCTGGGGTGGAAGCTGGGGTGGAAGCTGGGGTGGAAGCTGGGGTGGAAGCTGGGGGGGAAGCTGGGGTGGAAGCTGGGTGGAAGCTGGGGTGGAAGCTGGGGTGGAAGCTGGGGGGGAAGCTGGGGTGGAAGCTGGGGTGGAAGCTGGGGTGGAAGCTGGGGGGGAAGCTGGGGTGGAAGCTGGGGTGGAAGCTGGGGGGGAAGCTGGGGTGGAAGCTGGGGTGGAAGCTGGGGTGGAAGCTGGGGGGGAAGCTGGGGTGGAAGCTGGGGTGGAAGCTGGGGGAAGCTGGGGGGAAGCTGGGGGGGAAGCTGGGGTGGAAGCTGGGGTGGAAGCTGGGGTGGAAGCTGGGGGGGAAGCTGGGGTGGAAGCTGGGGTGGAAGCTGGGGTGGAAGCTGGGGTGGAAGCTGGGGGGGAAGCTGGGGTGGAAGCTGGGGTGGAAGCTGGGGTGGAAGCTGGGGGGGAAGCTGGGGTGGAAGCTGGGGTGGTGGTGGGGCAGGCGAGCAGCAGCAACATGAAACACAGCAGTGGCAGCATGAAGGAGGCAGAGGCAGGAAGACCTGGCAGCTTCAATAGAGCGGCATGTTCAGGAGAATGTGTTTGGTTGGTTGTAGAGGGACGAGGTGCGTCACGTGTTAATGTATCATTGGTGCTCGAGTTGACCGCCTGAACTAGCACGCAGGCTCCGCCCCATTTCTCATCAGCCCTTTTTTGTTGCTGGTGGAAAATATGACTGTTTCTAATTTGACATTGAAGACAAAGAAGACAAAAGGCACAGGTGTGTTTCTGTGCGTCTCACGCTGCTGCCACCGAGACAAACTGAGATTAATTGAGATCTTTACAATCCTTAGATCAAGTTCTTTATTCTCACAACAGGAGCAGTTGAGTGAATGTTCTCGGAGTTTTTCCCACAACACTTTGTATCCTGAAAAATCCAGTTTGCAAAATGATTATTTAAAAATGTGTCTCTGTGGAAGGAGGAGACTCATTTACACATAAAATAAAATATGAAATTATGATACAAAATGTTTTCACTTTGTTGATGACTACATCTTTTGTTTTAATATTTTAGTAAACTAAATTGCATATTCATTATTTGATATTGACTTGTATTGATATTGTTTTTGAAGCCTTAAGAGTAAAAGTAGATTAATAATTAAATGAAAAGTACATAAGAAATAAATGCACAAATACATTAATTTATGTTTTTAAAATGTGTTAATAAATAAAAGGGAACATGAAATAGGAAATAGAGAATTCATTTAAAAATAATTACATTTCAAGTGAACTAATAATACATGCAATAACACTTAAATATATTTAAATAGTATATTCATAATTAAATAGGAAAAACAAAAAACAGCAGTTAATGGAGATAAAAAAAAGTCATAAGGCAATAAAAAAGCTGAAATAATTGACGTCACATTTTATGTGAGCCTATGTTTTTATTCACTGTAATCAGATTCATTTCTTTGTGGTCAGCTGCAGGAAAACACACTCTTCTGTACGTGTGTGTGTGTGTGTGTGTGTGTGTGTGTGTGTGTGTGTGTGTGTGTGTGTGTGTGTGTGTTTAAAATATGTTTGCTGACACACCTGATGCGATTAAAGCTCCTCGTGGCAGCTGTGTTTCTCCTCAGCAGCCAATCAGCATCGAGCTCTTAATTGGATCAGGTGGAGTGGGAGCAACAGGAAAACTAATGGATGGACTTAATAGAGAGCCACAGTGACGCGTCCTAAAACCCGGAAGTAAACTCCTTCCGGTTCCTTCGTCAAAAACGCAATGAGATATCTCCATAGGGTTTAGGAAAATAGCTGGAACTAAGGTCTGTGGTTGAGACACATTTAAGAGACGGATCACGTTTTGTTCAGCCGGATCATCTCCACATGTCTCTACTTTTATAATGTTCTAATCATAAATCTAGTCGCCAGAAGCAAAATGCTAACGTTATGCTATAAAGGAACTACAGCAGGGTCGCTGCTTCAACGTCACGCCAACTTCAGATCCATATTCAAAACTACAGATTCTAAATGGTACGAGTTGAAGCGTTTGTTTGAACAGTTTGCAGGAGGCAGGTACTTGCTTTCAAGCAGAACAGGGCTAACTAACTTAGAGGAGTGTTTACGTGTTCGGCGTGATGACGTACAACGTCCTCCACAACTTCTGTAGTCCTATTCAGCCACTTGGTAACAACCATTGTTTTTCAGACACGTAAACTCTTCAGAAATCACCAG